GTTCTTGTCTGAGTTGACGCAGTCACGCTGCTTGAGATCCCTTGTTTCCAGGTTAGTAGCTGGTCTCTGGATGCCGGCAACAATCGCCCAAAATGGCGCGGTCTCCGCTGCTGCGCTGGCGCACCGAGAGATGTTTCAGCCGCAGTCTCCAACTGTCCTTTTTTTCCTGGGGGTTCTTGGTCTTTCCTAGCTGCAGACAGTCTCTCAGCTGAAAATCTTCTACCTATTCGGGCTGTATGTTACCCGTTTCAGCTGCTCACCCTTATCTGCTACAGGAGAAGGCACAGGACACATCCCTTTATACCTCCGCCATTTTCCCTCCTCCAGAAAGCTATTTTTTGATCCATTTTGTAATCACTTGACCTTATGAGACTTTAACACAGTACTCTTACATGGAGTCTAAGGAGTGATCTAGCATACACTTAATTCTACTTCACTGAAAATGTTGACATTTCAGGTTATTTTTAGGATGTTGGATTACATCTCCTCTCCTACCTTTCTATTGTATTGATTTTCCTGATGCATTTTTGAAATATGTTTTCTAGTTTATTAAAAGCACTTGAACTTCAACCATTCATTTTATTTCCTAAGAAAAATGTTCCAAGTTTCATTCTTTATTATCCATGCTTTATTAAATAATGAAATACAAAGGAATGCAAATAATAATAATTTTGGATTTCATTAAGTATTTCATCTGTATAAAAAAACTGGTTTTGTGATATTTTATCAATCCACAGAATGCTCATTTATCTTTCTATCTTATGTCACAGTAAAAATAGAGGATTAGTGGCTTTCGTGAATAATATAATATAGGCCCTCCCTCTATCACAACTACAGAAAGCTCAGGAGAAAACCATTTCCATTAATGGCATTGCTATTCCAACAGTATCAGCTTTAATCTGGAGTTTAAAATATAACGGGTAACTGATCACTTAAGGTTTTGATGGTTAAATGGTCTTAGAAATACTCTTTAAGTCTAACTCTCGTGAAAATATTAACATGATTCCATAGATTATATTTTTTATATAAACATTGCAATACAGGAGCATAGAATTGAAGGTTTAGAAACAGTAATAAAAATAAAATGATACATCACTGAATTTAAAAATATTTTCATGAAAAATATTTTATTTTTTTTCCTTGACTTACTTTTCACTGATATGAATGAAGTATACCATCTTCTGTATAATTTGTTGAAGGACACAGCTGCTGAAAATTACTTATTATCTATTCTACAACATTTTTTGCTTATCAGAAATGATTATTATATCAGGTAAGAAGCAGTTCTCAAAGTACTACCTATATAACTTAAATTAGGTCTAAAGGAAAATTAACAATGTAGTGGGCCTAGGTAGTCTATGCATGTATGCATCCAGAAAGTGTAAGAGCTTGATGACTTAAGGTAACATTTTGTAAATGGTATTAATTTCTTTTTATTTTTTGGGGGGGGCAGAATAATTTATTTATAAAAATGGGGTACTAAAGTGACCGGACTTTTAATAGCAATGAATCCAAAGATTTTGTTGACTCTATGATGAATTTTCTTTGCTAGATGATTGTAACACAGAGTCAACACTATAGAATCTATGGTAGAACTTTTAAGTTCTTATTTTTAATATGTAAGGTCTTACTATTATTTCTAGTTTATAGTATTTTTCTAGTAATAGATGTGTTATTATCTAAGAAAATAATGCTAAATTTCAGCTTTATATTCACTAATATAATTCTTCAAAATAAATGATTATGAGACTAATCCATAAGGTTATAAATTTTATAGTCTAATAAGTAGGAATATATTTGAAAGCCAGAAAGGTTTCTGAGTGACTGAAACTATCCATCAGGTGATGACCATCATCTTATATTTAACTGTTTCAGAGACTCTTAGTTGTTCTTCATAGTCAATATGCATGACATTCTGGCAACCTATGTTTTCTGATTTCTCAAAACTTGCTTGATTAGTGCAGAAAGGAAGGCTAATATTGGGCCAGGTATAATTGCAACAAAAATGACAGTTCTAAAGCCACATAGAAAACTATTATAGTTCAGACCAGTACAATAACTAATGGACATCATGATGTTACAGAGACATAGAAAAATGTTTAAAATATTAAATTTTATGTTTTTTAAAAAAGTAGGAATGATGGTAATACACTTGGAATGATTGTTGTTTTGTAAAATAAGTTCTGGTGATTAAAGGGGTACTGTGGCTGTGTGATGCAGTCACCTGGGGAAATTGTGCAAAGCCATCCATTTCTCAGTAACTGATGAAATGAGAACTTGCTATAATATGACATCCTTTTCATCCCGAGAACTTTCATGTGAGGTAGAATTGTGAGCACTTATATACTACTTAGAGATAATTAGCCTGTTCTCAAAGAGAACAATTGTGTTTTCCTTATTTACCCAAAGAGTCATTGACTAGACTGACTGTAATCTGATATCAATTAACCTAGGCCTTATTATGATTTTAAAGAACCTCAGATCTGTAATATACAGGGTGGGCAAAAGTAGGTTTACAGTTGTGAGTACATGAAAAGGTTTATTTTTGTATTATTATTTATATTACAACTGTAAACCTACTTTTGCCTGTCCCTGTATATTACTATTTATTTTTATTCTTGATTCTAGCCCTATGACAAAGGACATGTAAGAATAATTTGAATCTGGCTTCATTGACAAACTTTTAGTAGGTTGGCTAGTTATTAGCACACAATTTTAGGGATGTTTATTTAATTTGTGTATAGTAGTATCTCTTTCTGATTTTTCTCTGTTGAATTTATCCACCACTGATCAATACTCACTTTTCCCCAATTATTAATGTAAAAAGTGCCTTTAAAAATTTTGAAGTATGCAAGTGGTCATTTTTAAGATCAGAATTACCTTGGTAGATTACAGAATTAGGATATGTTTTAAAACCTTAGACACTTTGAACAAATTGAGTCTCTAGCCATGCATATTAAGTGTGTATGCAACTATAAAATGGATCTTTTAAAATATGTACATAAGTAGATCTTTGAAATAGTCTGTAGCATAAGTGACTCAGTCCAGTTTTGTAAGCTATTACAGCTAATCTTGAGTAAAAGTATTGGAGTAAATTCTAGACATTGCTTGCCACTGAATGCCAAGATACCCATCCCTTATTGAAATTGAGAATATGTAGAGGCCTAGGACTATTTCCATGGATGTGGGACTAACAGGTCATTTGTTTTCATTAACTTTAGGAACAGCAGCTTAAGTTTAAGTACATAAGGTTGATAAGTATCTTTGTACACAGGCATGGACCACTGCAAACTAGAGTATTAAGTCACTGAGTGTTCACAGTTGATTATTTCATAATGGGTTTTGCACTATAACGTCCAGACCATCTTTAAATGTAGGCATATTTCTTCTAAAGGAGTCTAATGACTGGGAAGATATTTTTTTAAAAAATAGTGCTAGAGAAAGACATGGTTATTTTATCACAGTGAGTCACTCTTAAGAATATTGATTTGTGTAGGTAGAAAAGGTATTTAAGAATATTTCTCTTTTTTTTTTTAGGCCACAGTATTACAAAATAATTGAGGAGTGTGTTTCACAGATAGTGCTGCACTGCAGTGGTATGGACCCAGATTTCAAGTATAGACAAAGATTAGACATTGACTTAACTCATCTGATAGGTATGTAAAATAATTCTCAATGTCCTTTGTATTATACTCTCTTCTGTTTAATAAGCACTTTTTAAAAGTATATCTCTTACTGAACTTCCTTTATTAATATCTGATAAGTCATTGTGTCTATGGGTATTCAGTCACTATAACTGTTAATTATTATGATCATGAGAGTTCTGCCTGTGTGACTGAAAATATGAACCTATTTCACAGGTTTCAACTCTCTTGAATTCAGATTAAAATTAATACCCCACAAAAATATATTTTATTATTATACATAAATGCCTTGCTGTTTAGAAACATGACTCTGAAATCATTTGATTCAGTTTATACTGATACCTTAATGGTTTTATAGAAATCACATGTACAATAGGGTCTAATTAATAATATAGCTATGCTATTTATGTTCAAGTTTGAGGAAAGAAACACAAGGTTATTTAGTTGCTTAAGACCTTTTAATTCTATCAAAGTAGAACAATTATATTTCATAGACTTTGAGCTAAAAAATAATTTCAGAAGTTCATGATCATCTACTTGGATTGCTGAGGAAATGCCCTTATATCATCCTATACTCGTAATTAGCTATACTTTCTGGAACAATCTCTGGATACTGTGAAACCTCTCTTGTGAAATATGCTGTGCTATCTGACCTTACAGTTAAGCAGTTTTATTTATACCTAGTCAAAATCACTATTGCTAAGATTCAAGCATGAATTCATTTGTCTTGTCTATGAAAGAAGAAAAAAACAACTGTTGAATGCCAATTATATATTCTTCACGCCATAGCACAGAGAAGACTCACAGTAATATTCAGAGATGAATTTTTATTATTATTTATCACTAGAGGCCCGGTGCACGGATTTGTGCACCAGTGGGGTCCCTCGGCTTGGCCTGCGGGGATCGAGCCGAAACCAGTTCATACACTGGTAGAGTCCCTTGGCATGGCCTGCAGGGATTGGGCAGAAACTGGCTCTCTGACATCCCCCAAGGGGTCTTGGATTGCAAGGGGGCATAGGCCAAGCTGAGGGACCCCACTGGTGCACTATTAGGGCCGGGGAGGGACCTTGTCTGGCCTGTCTCATCCAATCCCGATTGGCCTGACCCCAGCAGCAAGCTAACCTACCGGTCAGAGTGTCTGCCCCCTGGTGGTCAGTGCATATCATATGGATTCGTCAAACAGTCGAACAGTTGGAAACTTAGCATATTAGGCTTTTATTATGTAGGATATATTTTTTAAAAAATTATTGGAGAGAGAGGAAGGGAGGGAGTGAGACAGAGAGGGAAAGAAAGAGGGGGGAGGGAGGGAAATAGAGAGAGAGAAACCTTGACTTTGTTGTCCCACTTATCTATATAGTTGTTTCTGGTATGTGCAGTGACTGGATATTGAACCCAAAATCTTGGTGTATTGGAAAGATGCTCTAGCCAGCCATGGCTATTCTTTGCTGGTGTTAAAACTCCTTCTCCCTTATTCTAGGTAATCTAGAGACTTATGTAATGGAATAAAGCACCAACCTCACTTCTCAGCTCAATACATTTTCTCTCTCTCTCGCTCCCTCTCTCTCTCTCTCTCTCTCTCTCTCTCTCTCTCTCGAATTTTCATGGAGCATTTGTATTACAATAATTTTTTTATACTAACCTTTAAAATGGGACTTCAAACATCTCTATAACATTCCATTTTATGGAATGCCATATCATATTGATTAGTTCCTTCTTATTGTACATCTAGATTATTTACAGGTTTTCACAATTAAAACGGAATCTTGTGTGAACGTTCTTTGTATAAATGTTTGGATTTTTCTCATTATTTCCTTAGGATTGATTTCTGTAAGTGAGGGTATAAATTTTTAAGACAAAATTCTTTTTACCTTGCCCAGCAATTAATGTGAATGCTGGTGTCATTATATATTTTTCATTGTGCTTGATAAACTCAGTAATTTATTTCATATTTTGTTTAGAAAATTATAAGGGGCCATTTGTAAATATTTGTATTGGCTTGTAATCTCTTATAGACTATAATTGGCACACATACTCTGCTATTGAGTTTGGCTAGCTCATTCAGTGTTCACAGACATTTGTTTTGTGTTCTGTATGCCAGGTATTTATAATTGTGTACTGTTAACCAAAAGTACTGGGTCAAGGAGCGATGAAGGGACCAAGTGAGAGAGGGTAGTCAGCATCATAGACTCGTTATTACTGGAACAATTTACTGAACTTCTCTAGGCTTCAGTTTCCTCAACCTCCAAATTCATATAAGTCAAATATATGTGTGCTTATTAATATTTTATGGTCAGAAGCCTATTGCAGTAGCTGATGAATGCTGTGGAACTTTCATTAGAACGGGTACACACACAGACATGCGTGTCCGCACATACACATGCACATGTGCATTCACATAAAGTTTCAGGTGCTTGAAGAACTTATAGGATCACTTGGACTTAAGGAGAATAGAGTCTCTTCTGATTTCATAATTTTGTAAGCCTTGTATTTTTTTTATAAATCATATCCTATTCCTGCCTAATTTCTGATACCTTCCGATTGAGATTTAAAATCAAGATTATTACCAATCATTGCCAGCACAACACAGGTCTGGCCCCTCTTTGATCTCTTCATTTACCAATTTTCTTCTTAGTTGCCTTGCTCCAGCCATACAGTTCTTTAATAAATAAAAATAAAAAGAAAAGCTATATTGAGGTATTCTGGACATGAGAAAAACTACCCAGCTTTAAAGTACATGATTTGATAAAATTTTGATATTTAGTTATATTTAACACCACTATCACAGTCAAGATAATAACATGTCTATCACCCCAGAAAGTTAAAACTGCTATGACATTCATATGTGAGTCTGGGTATAGACATATGTTTTTATTTCTTGGGGATAAATAAATAGGTGTGGCATGGCTAAGTACAGAAGAGACTGTATGTATAATAATAAGAATATTGTCCAAAAGAAGTTCTTCACTTATTTATATTCTGAAGTGTTTGATTAGATGTGAGAAGTTAAATGTTTATTTCCTTATTTACATAATATATTCTGCCCCCATTAGAATTTACTTAAATGAAGTCTTTCTTTAGGAAACCTGAATTAATGAATGCTCTTGTATCTCTACCTCTAGCCTTATTTTAAGGACCATTTTGAGTTTTAATAATCTTAAGCATAGATTTTTTGGGACCTATCTACCCATAGTAAACTACAAAACAATTTTTAAAGAATTCTATAATTGTGAAAGTTGCAAAATAATTAAATACCTTTAAAACAATGATAATTTAGTCAAATATATATTTGGATGCTTGGTTTTGTGCCTCAACGATACTATCATTGAATTAAGTTAGTATGCAAAAGAAAGGCAATTTATGATGGTTTAGGTTTTCTGTGGTCTAGGTCAATTTCTCTTTAACAGCAATTGGCATATAGATGATTGTCTACACAGTAGAGTTACAGGCTGGCAGCCATATTTTGCCTAGAGATCGATGCAATAATTTCTAATAGTTTTTTTGGTTAATTTTAATAGATTCTTGTGTGAACAAGGCAAAAGTTGAAGAAAGTGAACAAAAAGCTGCAGAATTTTCAAAGAAGGTAAGTCTTATGAAATATTAGACATAATTAATAAATTAATAATTTAATCACAGTATATATTCCACCTCATTCCTTTATGGGAGGCTTTATAAATGTCGTTTCAGTTATGTAGTACTTTATGTTTCTGGATTCAAACATAACTAGAGGATATTGATTTCTTTCATGATAAGATAAGGTTGCTACTCTTTCCTCCTCATCACCTTTAATCCATTATGGAAGAAAAGCACTAGCCCTAGTCTACTAAAGTGATAAATGAAGGTTATAGTTAAAAGCGATCAACCAAAATGTATTTCTCCATTGCTTTCCTGCAGCTCTCACTTACAATAGGTATCTCCTTGGAGAACTGTGAGATGTTTAGCTCGTCTTATCTGTTATACTCTAAAGTCATTGCTATTAATAGCAACAGAATGATGCAGTGTTTTCTCTCTGTGTATGGGTTTCTAGCTGCTTAGACTTACTTTCTTTGAATTTTATAATAATCATTTTTAAATGATGCTGCTGCTTCATGCAGTCTTGGTATAATCTGAGGTTCCCCTTATGTAAATGTCAGCTTTTTAAATATTTTAATTTCATTTAGATCTTAGATTAGCTTTTCCTTGTTTTCTGAAAGCATAGTTACAATTTTATTAGCCTGTACCAAAGGTTGCATTCTAGACCCTATGAAGTGTTAGGATGGTATTTCTCTGCTTCTGGTGGCAGGGCCAGGAACTGAAGCACAAGTCTAAAGGCTCTCCAGTTTTCAGCCTCTGACAGCAAGATAAAGTGCTTACATATTGCTGTCTCTTCAAAGTTATGTCTTACCTTGGAGATTAGATAATCACTTTTGCTATCACTCTAGAAATTATAGAGTATTACTGAAGTTACTTCAGGGCATCTGAAGAAATGTCTTTGCTCTTTCAGTTACTAGAATAGATTTTTAAGAGCTTGAGCATAAAATGTTTGTGTGAAGATGTCATTTTTATTGGTGAAAGAAAATGTATGCTTTTGATTAATAGACATTTATATTTCTAATGTTCTTGTTTTAAGTAGCGCATTTAAAATTCCCTCTGAAAAATCTTAGAATTTCCTTAATTTTTCCCAGGAACTGTGATTAGAGACCATAAGACTGGAGCAAATTGTGACAATCTATCCAGTAAAATTTTCTGTAAGCATATGTTATGGGAAAAGGAGTCCTGAAATAATAAAAAAGAAATTTTAGTGTTTGGTGCTTTATTCTCATCACCAACATTTAGAAGAAACATATATAATTTTCCAGGGATTGTCTTCATGCTTTCTCTTATTCTAGGTGATTTTAAGAGGCAGTATAAAGTAGTTAAAAAAAGAGTGAGAATGAGGGGCACTAGAATGAAAAGCAGTAGTTATAAGATCTGATCTCAGCTTTGCCACTAATTAGCTGTGACTTTAGGTAAGCCACTTACTCTCCTTGGATCATAGTTTCTTTGTCATTAAAAGGAGTGGATACATTTAGTGGATTTATAAGAAGTCTCCCAGCTCACACATCTCAGACGTCTCTGATTCCTTCTGTGAGTTTACAGATTAAGATCATTTCCGGCAGAAACACTGTGTGCCTCTCTTCAAAAGTACTAACAAACAAACTATTTGTAGAGGAAAACTATACAGTGTGCTTATGTAGACACCACGCTTGACAAGCACACAAGAGAAGCTAACTTTGGGAGGAGGATGGGAGTATAGAATCAGATAAATCTTTTTTTAGATTGAGGTAACATTGGTTAATAAAATTATACAGGTTTCAAGTGTGCAGTTCCATAAGACATCATTTGTGTATTGTATTGTATGTTTGCCACCCCAAGTCAAGTCTCCTTCCATCACCATTTATCCCCCGCCTTTACCCTCTTCAATAGGGATAGTAGTGAAGTATCTTCTATGTGAACTAGGAAACAAGGTCATTTGCTGACTGAAGGATCTGGGGTGGGTTTGAAATTTGAAGTTATAAGAAAGGCTTTGGACCAACCTCTGTGGGACATTTTCCTAGGACTCAAGTACACATGAATAAATGAGTTAACTAAGTAGTATTTCAGATTTGGCCAAAACACTGTGATTATCCAATTTGCTCACCCACTCTTTCTTCAGACTGGGATCTGAGTGGCATTTTATAGCTTTAAAGGTCAAATCTACTGTGAGGATGAACATGTCTTAGTGTAGTGAACATACTTTTTATGTTTTACAATCTCTAAAGACAATTTTATACAGTAAAAGATCAAAACAGAAATAAGATCATTGGAATAATATATAGACTTCTAGAAGTGACTGGAAGTGATACTGACAATAAAGGGCAAATGTTCTGTAGCTGGGTATAAGCAGTATTCACTATCAGTATGCAGGTTTGTTTGGGCCTGCTTACAGCCCTGACTGGGGTGTGAGCTGGGCAGGATGCAGTAAATGGGAACTCACCATTCAGATGGTCTCTTTGGCTTAGCACACATTAACCTCTTATTTCCCCTCTTGTAACATTTAGACAAGTGTTTTGGTTAACCACGTAGAGGAGAATGCCATTATGGCATATATCACTCTACTGTCAGATTTCAAGGAGCACTACGTTTTAGATGCTAGACAACTAAGATTATAATAGAAATATTCTCATTTGTATTAATGCACATCCATTTGAGTGTTCTAAAAGGTGCGATCTCTTTTCAAGGTTAAATATAATTAAGGAGTTGAACTGCTTGATGGCTAATTTTTAGGTTTCATTTTTCTAATTGAATAAATTTGAAAGTATGGGATAAAACATTAAAAAACAAGAATAATTTAGAATTATTCTTGTAACTTTCAATAACAGAAAAGAAAGATCCATTACATATGAAGAGAGACTTCTCAGTTCACCCTTTTAAAACTGTGTTTTATATTTTTAATCGATTTTTAGAGAGAGAGGAAGGAAGAGGGAGAGAGAGAAACATCGATGAGAAAGGAACATCATCGATTGGCTGCCTCCTACACGCACCCCCACTGAGGATTGAGCCCACAACCCAGGCACGTGGCCTGACCAGAAATTGAACTGGTGACCTCTTGGTTTTTGGGTCAGCCATTGAGCCACACCAGCAGGACTGTTATTTTTTTGTTTTTTTTCAGAAGTGAAAATGGGGTTTATTTTTCTTGGGTTGGGGGCATATTTCTTCTTTACTACTACCACAGCAATACTCTATCCTCACTTAATTGTCATGAAAATAATGGAGCTCTGATTTTTTTAGTGACCTAGGAATTCAGCAAAACAAGAGACACCTTACTTAATACCTAATGTTGTTTAAAAATTTCTCATAACTGTATTATGAAGTGTACATTTATGGTGGTGATCATTGCAGTTTGATGAAGAATTCACAGCTCGGCAGGAAGCACAAGCTGAGCTTCAGAAAAGAGAAGAAAAAATCAAGGAGCTTGAAACAGAAATCCAGCAACTTCGAACTCAGGTAATGAAACAAGATATAGACTTTGTGTCATGTCACAGTGAGGTTGATGGTAGAAATTATCTTGTTAGATGAAGGAAAAATACGACCAGAAGCAGACTTTTGGCAGTTTCACATTTTCGTTGAAATAACTATAGATTTGATTTTCTAGGACAATAAATCATTTTAATGTTTGGATAACAATAAGGCATTAGTCACTTGATCTGCCCTGAATATCCTTAATGGAATATATTATACAAGCAAAACTGTCTCTGAGATGAAATTTTCATCATGATTTGAAAAATTAGGTGCATACTCTTTTTTTTTAAAAGTAACATGAAAATGCTCCTTAATTTTAATTATCCCCAAAACTTTTTGTGATCTCTTTAAATCTCAAATACCATCATTTCAAAACTTATAAATTTTGCATTTGCACTTACATTTCCTGTAATGAAAAGAGTATACACACTTAAAATATACACTTAAAATCTTAATTATACTGTCTAAAATTAAGAACTCATTAAATACTCAACACATTTTATGTTTTCAGTGTATATAAAAATGTAAGATAATTTCTTAACATTGTGAATGCTGAGGTATTAGTTGATTGATTAGTTTTGTTGCCATCAGTCTACTGAGAAATGACTTCAAAGTCACCCAAGAACTCCCAGTACCCACTGCAGTAGCCTTTTCTTTCCCTTAGCCTGTTTTATTCATTTCATTTCTTTTTACTGAATATTTTTCTCTTTTTTGCTATCATCTGACTTCTCTTTTTACATCTCTGAGAACTCAGTTTTTATTTATGTTTTTGACTACCAAATGGTGACATTCACCAATGTCTCTGCTCTTTTTTCCTCTTTATGTCCTTAAAGTAATATCCATTCAATATTATAATTCAAATATCACCTTTTAGTAGGTGGCAGGTCTCCTGAGTTTGTCTTATATTTCCAGCTCTTGATTACCTTTCCACATGGAGGTTGAAATCAAACCCATTATCTGTGGTCACCTCTATTTTCTCAAACCAGCTTGATCTCCATTCTCACTTGTTTAAATTTTACCACAAGTTGTTTTGATCATGAAGCCAGGGGCGGGGGGTGCCTTTTCCCTGACAAATTAAGCTGGCCACTGTTTTCTGTCAGTTCTTTCTCCAGCTGTTTTCACTTGCATCAAAACCCAGAATCACTCAGGGTCACTCTCATTACTTCCTGCCTGGATGCTACAATTGTTTCTTAACTTTCCTCCCTGCCTATAGTCTCTTCCTCCTCAGAGTCATCCTTTTTGTCACTGGCAAATTAATCTTACTAAAACACTGCCCTGATTATTGTCACTCTGGCTTTAATATGTCCAATGGCTGCCTGTTGCATTCAGGATTAAATAAAAATCTCCTTACCAGGAATGTGAAGGCCTTCTATCATGGGCTTCCTTATCTCCCCTTTGCAGCCAGTCTGACTGCTCCCCTAACTGCAGCCTCTGTTGCAGCTAAGTCACCTTTCCTCCCTTCACATTTAGAATTTACTGTCTCCACACTTCCTTCTGCCAGCATTTCCCAGACATTAGTTTCAGAGATGCTAATAGGTTTTTCATGAGGAAAGCATGCCATAGTCCAATAAATTTGGTACACTTGAAATTCTCCTCTTGGAGAGTCAGAATACTCATTAGCATATTAAAGGGTCTTAGATGTCCTACATTGAAGAAACCTGTCCACTTCTTTTGCATAGAGCCTTCCCAAACTCATTCAAGCATAGAATCCTTTATCTCAGACCACCTATTAACATCTCCTGGAAAATAGTGTTTTTATGAAACTTAGTCAAGAAATGCCGATTTTAATGATTCTCTGCCAGAAATGTTCTCCCTTGTTCATCTGTGCCTGCAAAACACATTCTTTAAGGATAAGCTCAGTAAAATATCCTTTGGAAAGCTTCACAAAAACTCCATTAAGGAATTTCTGTGGACTTCTGTATCACCTTTGTAAACCACTCATGCTGTATTTGTTTGCATGCCTGTTTTGTTTCTTCTCCTGGAGCATAAACACCTTGAGGACAGTTTCTTGTTATTCTTATTCAAGGCCCTACTGCACCTGGCACAAGGCCTTACCATTTAGTGAGTAGTGAGCTGATTTATTAAATGAACTAATCTGTAAAAGTGCAGAGTCACACAATGCTTTCTAGTGCACCTAAAATTGTGTCAAATATGATTCATTGGTACTCTATTGTAGCCTAATTTAATTGTTCCATTCTTAATTGTTCATTGGAAGGAATAAAAGGGCTGATATGATTTGATGTTTAAAGGCTGATAGCATTTAATATAAACATTTGAGATTTTTTATTAAATTTGAAAAACATGTATTTAACCTAAGTAAAATCCTATTTTAAAATCGTTGTGGTTGCTCACATTTTATATCATAAATATGACCTAATAGAGGCAAAATTTTATATTTAAAAATATGTATTACTTTAATTTTTCTGTTTCGATACAAAAATGGGATACACATTTTACCTTTCAAATTATTTAACAAATCAATTTATGCACAATTTGTAGGGTAATTTACTAATTCCCCAACTTTTTCAGAAAAATTATTTTAATTTTCTCCAGTATTTCTTTGATCTCCATTAAGATTGTAAACATCAGGCTGTTTTCCATAATTTTGCCGTATTAAAAATAAAATTAAAAGAACATTAAATATGTAATTCTACCTTTGATTTTTCCTAATCTCTGGGGAAGATTGCATATCACTACAGGATTATCATTTGTTAGGTGTATGAACACCTTGATTGTATATATGTATATACACACATAAAGATTCATATATGTGAATAAAACATATGGACAATGCACATCGAATAATATGAGAAACATTTTTGTGGTCCTATCTACCCATGATTGTTAATTTACAATCTTATAAATAGATCAGTCCTTTAAGTTGATTATTCCAAAAATATGCATCAACATATTTATTTCGTCAAGATATTTCTAAGTTTAATTAGCACAATTAGGGAGTCCAAGTAGGAAATTCATATTATTAATGAAGATAGGAAATCTTGCTCTCCAAGTAAAATTATCACTATACCAAGAAATTTCACTAGTTTTAAACCTTTTATTCAGTTAATCTAATGTCATACCTTGGTTACAAAAGATGTCTGTTCATTGAGAGGAGTTTCTTAGGAATGTTTATAATGAACAACTTCCCTTCTATATCCGTTTATTTTAGAAAGTGAACCATTGTGATCAGTAATTGTTTAAAGAATCAGGTACAAATTAATCCTCAAAAAAGCAGACAATATGGAATGCTATGTTCTCTTTCATCTGTCATCCTTCATGTTAGCGAATGAGTTTGAAGTTACTTTCTGGTAGTAGAAAGAAGCTATACTCTTCTTATAATGTAATCTGTGTGAATTAATTTTCCTCATGGCAATGACACCCATCCATGAAGAAGCAGTCTGCTATTATGGAATGAGGACTGTATTAGGTATGAGAAGAACCACATTCCAATCTTAATCACATTTCATACTGTGTGACTTTGATTAGTCATTTAACATTTTTGCAGTTACTGTTTGCTCATCTATAAGCAGTGAGATGATGATGAAATAAAAATGCCCTACCTACATTCCAGGGTTATAATAAGAATGAAAAGAAATAATAGGTTTAAAAGCATTGATAACTGAATATTAATATGCAAAGGGATGTTACTTAGTATTAATTATTGGTACTAGAAAACAGCTGAGTTACTGGTGCTCTGAGATAGACACTGTGTAAAGCTAGTTGGCCCCAAGGAAATCAAATCAATGAGCTTTTAAGTATTAACTATCTCACGTTCAAACCAACTAGTCTAACAGGCCCAAGCCATATAACAGTGATGGCGAACCTATGACACACATCAGAGGTGACATGCAAACTCATTTTTTTGGTTGATTTTTCTTTGTTAAATGGCATTTAAATATATAAAATAAATATAAAAAATGTAAGTCTTTGTTTTACTATGGTTGCAAATATCAAAAAATTTCTATATGTGACACGGCACCAGAGTTAAGTTAGGGTTTTTCAAAATGTTGACACGCCGAGCTCAAAAGGTTCGCCGTCACTGCCATATAATATACTTCCTCTTTGTATATAGTTATAATGAAAGGTAAATTTTTTCATTATCTTGGGAGAGTGTTTCACAAAATCTTTGAGGATTCCAACTTTCCTAGCATTAGTGTTTTAGCAAAAGTAGTCAATGTCTAAAGTTTATAATGCTTATCAAATATCCATGCAAGTCTTTTCCATGTGCTGTTAAGCCCTTAGGTTGTTGCTCAGTTAAATAAAAGTGCATGTAATCTTAAGCCAAGCACAATTGTTTCCTGATACGTTTTCTTTGCTGCTATATTTTACTGTAAGTATTGAAACATTGGGTTATTTATGTTTCAGGGCCATGGAGTCTCAGGTGCATCAGGAATTCCAGGCCCTCCTCCACCACCTCCACTGCCAGGCGGTGGGCCTCCCCCACCTCCACCTCCACCTCTACCCGTCGGAGTCCCCCCTCCTCCTCCTCCTTTGCCAGGAGGTATACCACCACCACCACCTTTGTTTGGGGGACCTCCTCCACCACCTCCCCTTGGAGGAATTCCTCCTCCCCCAGGAGCACCAATTGATCTGCCTTATGGAATGAAGCAGAAAAAAATATATAAACCAGAAGTGTCCATGAAGAGAATCAATTGGTCAAAGGTAATACAACTAGAATTTTTGGCTTTGTCTAGGCATAGTTCATCATTAATGTGTGAGGGACCGTATTGCTACGTATGAGTGTTGTATCATATTTGAGGACCACCTTCATCTTTCCTAGTACAAATTTTACTGTTTAACTGAGCAAATAATTTGAAATTAACATTGAAGGCAAAAGGAAAATCAAAGTGAAAGTGATAGAAACTAATATATGAAATATATCACCAAATGAAAAATAATTTTGATTCTTATACGATTATTAACTTTCAGTACTGTAACAACAAATACACTCTTTTTTTATTGATCCTCTATATCTTAGTTATTTTTGTTCTTAGGGAATGATTGTTATTTTTTTAGTTTTTAGATAGTTTGAGATAGGTGACGGGAGTCAGTAGTGAATAACCCAGTTGTTTTTTGATATGATGTATGAATGTTTTTTCCATTCCATAATATTTTGCTGTATTATTATCACATAATATATCTTGTAAAAAGCTTATTATTGAGATTGGCACAGTCCCCATTCACTAGGAACTAATCTTCTAATGAAAATACAGTTACCCAGGCTACCAGTTGGGGAAATGACTCATCTAAAAATATACAGTGATATTTGACAATATCTACATAGAAAATTGGTTCGACCAGAATAATGGTAAATCAGTTTTAAAGTTATGTATATACTTATGCTTTGCTTAGAAAGTAAATGTATAAATGGTTTTAGGAAGTAGATTTTTAAAAATCAGGTACAATCTACCAAACTATAGGATCCCTAAGCTGCTGGTTCAGTTATTTTTGTGTGTAAATGTAATGGTATGTTAATGTAGCATGCAGTATAATGGTACTAGGAATCACGAAAGATCATGATGCCCTGGAAAATGCACAATTCTTAATTTGGGTTTCAGTTTAGCAACTAAGAGCACAATTCCAGGAGCTGTACTGCCCAGTGTTAAGTCCCATCTTTGCTATTTACTGCCTTGGGCAGCCACTTAAGCTCTCTGAAACTCAGTTTCCTCATCTTTCACATGGAAATAATGTAGGTCTCGCCTCAAAGAATTAGATGAGTTGATGTATGCAAATCACATTAAACAGTACTGGACACATGGTTGGAGGCATGTATCAACTATTATTATGGTTATTGACTTCAACTTAATCAGTGAACATGAGGAATTCACATTTCTGAATCTCAGTTCCCCCATTTTAAAAAATCCGGAGCAAAAAGAATGTATGTGAGTTGGGGAAGGATTTGCTAAATTATTTTTAAGATTCCTTCCAGTAGAAGATTTTTATTTCGGTAGAAGATTTTTTTAAATGTAATTTGCGATAAGACCTATTGATATCATGTGCCTTTTTTATTTGCTAATGGAATTCTGTGCCTTTCCCAATAAATATTTACTTCAACAGTATTATTTTGATGGGTCCTAACGTTGATTTAGTAGGTAAATGAATAAAGGAACTATCATTCAACTGTGGTGAAAGTGAATGCTTGAAAAATTAAATATAATGTTTTAGAAACATGTGTTTGTTATTTTTGTTTCAGATTGAACCCAAAGAATTATCTGAGAACTGTTTCTGGTTAAAGGTTAAGGAGGACAAGTTTGAAAATCCAGATCTCTTTGCAAAATTGGCACTGAATTTTGCTACCCAGATGAAAGGTACATTGTTTTTTATATAAATCCTTTATTCTGATATATCAAATCGGTTGCTTTGCTAAAGTTTCTACTAACACATGTTTTATATTTCCACACTGGACGGAGTCAAACATGAGTAGATTAACAACACATTAATTTCATGGACCTAACAACCTAAGAAGGTAGCTCTTTTGCCTTTTAATTTTATTTTGCATAAATGTTATTCATATGAAAATCTAAGTTTTATTTTTTTTGTTTAATGTGTTATTCCTTCTCTATTATAAAGTTGTCATTTTTACTGAGAAGCAGAGATGAGTTTGTTGATTTACCATGTAAGATAAAATAATGCAATAATACTGGTGGCTTAAAGTTTTCATGATATTGGAATAAGATTGATACTCTAGTGCTCAAGTAGTCTTTCCTCTTACATTTGTACTACTTATCAGTTTGGTTTCCTAGGAAATTTTATAGTTTCTTTCTATAAGCAGATTTTGTGGAATAATATCAAAGTCTGGTATCTAGTAATTTTTTTTTTTTTTTTACTGATTTGATAATAGAGTGCCTTGTTTATGATTAGACGTTTAGGCTCTTGTGAATGTCCCACATAATTTTGGTGCTATAGAGGTAGCTTCTCAATCTTATAAGTAAATGTTGTAGTTTGTGAATTTTTGATAGTTTATATTAACATTTACTATTTTACTTATCATTGTATAATTGATAGTTTAGTTCAGTGGTTGGCAAACTGCGGCTCGCGAGCCACATGCGGCTCTTTGGCCCCTTGAGTGTGGCTCTTCCACAAAATACCACGTGTGGGCGCGCACGTACAGGGCGATTGAAACTTCGTGGCCCATGTGCAGAAGTCGTTTTTCGGCCTGGGCGAGTCTATTTTGAAAAAGTGGCGTTAGAAGAAGTGGGGGTGTCGGTGGGTCTGGTGACAGGAGACGCGGCGCAGGGAAGGCATGCATGATTCATGCAAGAGTTGAGGATAGGAGAGTTGGAAGGGGTCGACCTCAGCAAACATACCTCAGTCAGATTGAGGACGTTTTTAGCAAAGGCCAGTTTAGGAGTACCCTAATTAAGTTAATAACAATGTACCTACCTATATAGTTTAAGTTTAAAAAATTTGGCTCTCAAAAGAAATTTCAACCGTTGTTCTGTTGATATTTGGCTCTGTCGACTAATGAGTTTGCCGACCACTGGTTTAGTTAAACAGAGGATTTTTTCAGTCTGAGTCTTTACAACTAAGAAATTGATGTATTTCATAGTCTCATGCCCATAGAATTAGCACCTTTATCATTCATTTGTCACAACATGCGAAAATATGACTTTTGGAAGAGAGAGAGAGAGAGAGAGAGAGAGAGAGAGAGAGAGAGAGAGAGAGATATTATTCCCTTTCAGCCCTTCTATCAAATCTTGCATACTGGAACTAATATAGCTTGTGCTATATTTGTTGTTCCTTGTAAATTGAAGTTTGCACACACAAATCTGGGGGATTACAGTATTTTGAAGAATTCTAACATTTTACAAAATTCCTCTCATTAGGTCTTTTTTCCCTTCTTCTTTGCTGTAGTAGACCTTACATTTGAATGGTTCTTAAGTGACTCCTTAGACTACTATTTATTATAAACACTTTTTCTAAATTGAAAAATTAAAATATGCTTATATTAAGGTATGTATATACTTAAAAAAGAAAGAAAAGACACATGGTAAACATATCCTTCAATCCCAGACTTATAGCTTCTTCTCCAGAGAAAACCACTCTTACTAATTTTGCCTACAATTTTGCCTTACTCACATTGCCTATAAGAAATAGTCTATGCCTCTAGAACAGTGGTTCTCAACCTTCCTAATGCTGCGACCCTTTCATACAGTTCCTCATGTTGTGGTGACCCCCAATTTCATTGTTACAAATTGAACATAAAGCATAGTGATTAATCACAAAAACAATATGTAATTATATACATGTTTTCCGTTGGTCTTAGGCGACCCTGTGAAAGGGTTGTTCGACCCCCAAAGGGGCCGTGACCCACAGGTTGAGAACCGCTGTTATAGAAGCATATGAATATTTACCTTTTTTGTTTTTTGTGACTTCCTACTGTTTTCACTTTTGTCCTTGGATATTATTCCATAATAGATTGTTTATTTCCTGTGTTCTTTTTATAAAATGCATATAATTTTGCGGTCTGGGCTCATTTGAATTTATGTAACCAGTCCCCTAGTAATGGATATTTAGGTTAATTCCAGTCTTTTGCTATTTCAAGCAATGCTTCAGTGAACTTGTACTTACATATATCTTTGTGCACATGGGATCTATCTAAAGGATAAATTCTAGAAATGAAATTCCTGTCTAAAATGCTGTGTACATATATAATTTTCATGGATATTGCCAAATGGTCTTCCAAAGAGTTTGTGTCCATTTGTAGTACCACCTAAAACATATGAGTATCTGTTCCCATCGCAGAAGTGAAAATGGTAAGTCATCCATGTTAAAATTTTTACTTCTTAAATTATGAGTGAGGTTGAGCAGCTTTTCTTCTACTCATAGGCAATTTTAATTTCTTATTTCCATGAACTTTTCTTAACAGTTCTTTGCACACTTCATATTGAGCTCTTGCTCTTTTACTTACTGATGTATTTGGATCGAGTCCCACAAGAATCATAGATTTCGTAAAATTTTAGCGTTAGGATGAAACTTAGAAGTGATTCTTTACTTTACCAATGAAGAAAATGAAGTTTGAAACATAGAGGTAACTAGAAAACCCATTGGAGAGTTTCTACAAGTAGTGAGGCATAGTGGGGAAAGACAGAGGAAATGGAGTTACCCATATTTGCATTCCAGCTGTGATGCCTGTAACCTCTGAGACTGAATTTTCCCATCCATAAAATGAGTAGACTAATGTTTACCTAGTAGTATTGTGAGAATTAAATAAGGTTATATATTTAAAGCACCCAGCACAGTGCTTAGCATAGCAGGCACTCAATACATATTAATTCCCTCTTACCTTTCATTTAACATGGTGTGTGTGCTTTGTTTTAGTTATTGACATTTAATATAACTGTTAATTCAGCAAGAGAATTTCCTGCTCTTCAGAGCAGCACTTGGTAGAGCCAATCAGTTACAATAGAAGCAATTCTTATTGTGACTGCTAAAATCTCATCAAACCAAAGTAAAACTAAACAAAAATCACATAAAGGCTCTCATGTGCCCTAGCCTGTTTGGCTCAGTGGATAGAGCAGCGACCCACAGACTGAAGGCTCCTGGACTCGATTTCAGTCAAGGGCATGTACCTTGGTTGCAGGTTGGATCAACCAGCTGTGGTCAGGGTGCATGTGGAGGCAACCAATCGATGTGTCTCTCACACCTTTGTTCTTTCTCTTTATCCCCCTCCCCCTCTCACTTCTATTTTCTCTAAAAATCAATGGAAAAATATCCTTGGGCAAGGATTTTTAAAAAAAGGCTCTCATGTACTCATTGCTGAGAACATTGCATTTCCATTCCTCTTCACTCCGAGTCTTGGAATTTTCTAAGCAGTGTTGCTTCTATTTCTTTCCTAATTTTGAGTATTTGAGTACAAATCAGGTCAGGCACACCTTTAAGTACTATGACTTTTACTAAGATTTATTTCTGAAGGGACATTCAACGGAACAATTAAGCATCATAGTATATTCCAGACAAATATAATATAGGCAAAACACGTTTTCATCATATACAACTGCCATTTATTTTAATACCTCTTAATAACTATCGATTGATCTTACTGTAATAGCTGAAGTTCTTTGTCTTTCACAGGGTCTTGATTTATAATTTGGTCAGTAGGTGGCAGGATCTGTAAGAAATGAATCCGGGCTCTGGCTCCAGTGACCCACACAGCCCTGGAGCCCTGGAGTTCCTGGAGTTCCCAGCTCCAGGGCATCGCTTTCTTCCCCACTCAGCTGCAGTTTGCCTGTCACTCAAATGCCATCAGGAAGCAGCCACACACTCATTGTTTCTAAGAACTATTTCCAAAGCTGTTAGGCCCACTGTTCTAAAACCTCTGAGATTTTCCTCCTACTGCAAGGGGTTTGGAGAGCTCAAGGATCTGTTTCCTAAATTCATTGGAAAGCTTTACCGGCCTGTTTTAAGAAAAGGTTTAATCTAGGTATTTAAAGTTGCTTTCAATTGCTAAATAGACGTTCTAAAATATACTAGTTCTGATAACTATAATATTTAAATGTGTAAATATTTAATATAGGAAAGTACCATTAAATTAAACTTTCTAGTTGAAGTACTTATCTTAGAGTTGTAGAGACATTTATTTTTAATTTTCTATTATAAACCAAATTATTTTTATTTTAAGAGAGAATGGATATCTCATTTTAGTCAGTTTCTATTTGTAGAGTCACCACCATGTGCAAGGTACATGGGAGGGAGAGAGAAGAATAGGCTTATTCCTGTACTAGGGAACTCACCATCTAGGGGAGGGGAGAGGAAGAGGAGCACTACTTTTATTCAAGTTGCAATAAATATCAACATAGATATTCTTAAAATGCCATAACAGCACAAAATGGAAATAGTTAATTTTGTCTAGATCAAATGGGGATCCCAGAGGTGGTATCATTTGAATTGGGCCTTGTGTTTTGGTAGATTTCATTAGGGGAAATAGAAGAGAAGGCATTCTAGGCCAAGAACACCATTAGCAAAGTAATGGGGTGGGGAAAGGTGAAACCCATAGTGTGTTGAAAGCACATCCTGTTCGGTTGGGACTTGGGGGTGAAGGTAGTAAAGTGAACTTCACATTGAGGAAATGGGGTTTTGTTTTTTAAGCATGGGGGACCCAATAATTTAATGATTCATCATTGAGCAGGTGTTTGGCATACACATAGGTGATGAGAATTCACAGGTAGATGATGGAACATTGCTTGTGAATAAATACTCTTAGGCTCAGCAAAATATGGTGATATCCTGACGAGTAGGAATTCTTAATCACTATTGTGTATTCTCATTCCTAAATCCTTTGTCTCCACACTTATAATATTTAGGTTCT